TTGATCAGAAAAGATTGCTGTTTGCTTAAAGCTGTTCACTTTTGTTGTATAATGAACCAATGAACCGTGTTAACGAAAAATTTAATACAATATAGTTTTTTAATTAAATCTAGGAATTTTTATTTTCAGTAACATAAAGGGAGTGTAATAACAAACAACTATTGGATGTTTTCTAACATTGTATACAAGTACAAGACTAACGTGAATAGCGAATAGCGAATAGTCATGGGGTTCGTGTTCAGGGGTTGTTTGAAACGAAACCAGTATCCCGAATTTTCGAGGTCTCGATAGGGAGCATGTCTCTATTTTGCTTCGAATTTCGAAAAAATTCCTGCTATCCCTTCTACCGTGAAACTACGGCCACGAACAGATTAGGCATACTTATCTGACCCTTGTGCTCTTATCCGTCATTATGTAAAAATGCTAATCCTCTTTGTCATACCTGGCGAGCTTTCGGTCTAATCGTGATCTCTTTGTATTCCAGTCGCTCCTGTTTATCGTTTGCAGGTACCGCGACGGCCGAAATACGTGGAAAATGTTTTCTTTCAGTGATCAATACCGCGCTCAGTACTGTGTATGCATTAACATTAGAAATTTTGTACAAGATATAGAAAAATATGTGAAAATATTTAACTCTTTGCACTCGAATATATTTTTCACTATAAATATTCAGCATTTTATATTGAAATATCGATTAGATGTAAATTCTTTACATCTAATATATAGAGAAATCGTACGTGAATTATACGACAGGAACGTTTTATGTATTATTATATTAAATAAAATTTAGCATTGAACGTTAAAATTTATAATTTTGCTAGATCGAACTAGACGTCGATTGAGAGTGGTCTCTCGAGTACCAAGGATTAATATTGAAATATTGAAAAAACGTTTAATTTATTCGATCGTAAGTTCACTTAACTCTCAAATACTTAACTGTTTTTTCATTTGGTAGTAATTCCTCAATTGTGTCAAGAGACCTTTAATAAGTATAATTACAAGCTGCGTTGAACTATGCAAAAAGAGATTCAAATTATCTGAAAATGAAATTTGTTGTAATGCACGTAACATTTTGAAACATATGCGTGGAATACCCATTGAAGATTTATTTTTCGCATGAAAATTCTATAAAAGAATCGATTATGTAGTTAACAGATTCAAAGTTTTATAATTATTACTTGTAGATTGTAACTGTTTTTCACTTTTTTATTTACAACAATTTTTTGCGTGCATTACTGTGATTGAGAAGATTCTGATTTTTCGTTCTAAGTAGATTATGGAAATTTATGCAGGTACAAATTTTTACGGTTTAATATACAGAAATTGAAGTTAAATTCTATTTGTATAGAAAATTCTTAAACTATTATTCCGAGTTTCAGAAAATTGTAACCGCTGTAAATACGTAAAATCCGCAGTCTAATTTTAAGTCTGGGATAAAAACAATTTACTAATTATTCTGCTGTTTCCGTGTCTTGTATTCACGCTTACACGAGACAAACAATTATTGTAATGTTATGCAAAGTTGGGGAGAAATTTGAGAATCCATCTAGTTGATATAAAATGCGCATCGGATGTAAGGGCGGATGGTGCGAAATTGGGTTGCTACCCTTGTCTAGTACGGCCTGATTATCATAGTGAGAAACATTAGCTTTCCTTCGCGGGTACACTTTCATTAGTCGGAACCTTACACTTTCTAAAAATATTCATAGCTTTGAAAGAAGTTGACAGGTACAGTATAAATGTAATAACATTAATTGCTAATGGTGATGGTAATATTTTAGGGTGGTAATACTAAGGAACAAATGTACTATTAAAATAAATAGTATTTAGTATCACTTTAATTGAATTATTAAATTTATAGAAGCAGAGTTTAATTTGAGTGGATTCAATTTAAATTTATAGATGAGGTATTTGATTAAAATTAATTTAAATACAATTTAATTTACTTGAAGAGGATTGATTGCCAATAATTTAATTGACTTTATTAATTTGAATAAGGTTGTACAGTATTTTAGGAAAAGGTTTATATGTGTGAACCAATAATTACATAATTTATTTCTAATAATATTTAAGGAGGAATTGTACTAGTAGAATAAATTATCTTTCGAGGCTGAGTAATTAATTTGAGCTTAAAGTAATGTATTTTTTATGCATTTTTGAAAAATAATACCTCTGTTAATAACTAATCTGTTTTTCAAACATTTCAAACGGCTAAAGTAACATATTTGTAATATTCTGTAAGCGATAGTGGTACCCTCTTTTAGCTTCCCTATGTTTAATTAACAAAAAGAAAAATATGATGGCTGAAATACCATTTCAATTAATAGGGTGGGCCGAGGTGAATCGTATCACAGGGTAAATCGGATCAAAGTAAGAATCGTGTCCACTATTTATCGTATTTTATAAACAAATTAGATTTTCCATTTTGTGTTTCTTATTTGCAAAAAAAAGCGATTCAACATTTGTTTTCAGGTTTTATTAGTAATGTTTCAGTATTTTTATCCTTTTATTGTCAAAGAGAAGACGGTCCGATTCTTATAATATGGAGTCAGACTCGTGACTCGTGATAAAGTAGTTTTATCGAGCAGAGTTGTGAAAGCAATCATAGGATAAGGGGTTAATGAAACATTATTTCTCATGAATAACATTTCAAACTTGAGTAAAGAATTTAACACTTGAACTACCAGACAGATCAATATCACCCATTCTTGATTTCTTCTTTTTGGGATTATTGAAAAGATAACAGGATTCTCCAAGATATCGTCAAGGAAATAGATTCTGCGATACGCAAACACAATTGTAAGGTAGTTTCGGTAGTTTTGGTGTTAAATACGATTCGCGAGTAATTATTAATTAGTATTGAAGCGAGCATTAGGGTAGTAGCTTTATATGCCAAATACCGTCGCTGTGATATTGGTAATTATTGTTCACGTTCATTCGCGTGCTCATTATTTCCTTGGGATCCCGCGTACACAATTATTTTGATTTAACACCTTTCTTTTAGGCTGGGACAGGTTTTCGAATATATGCGTCAGGAGATGTGACGCGACAACGATCGCGACCGTGATGCTCCTTTTACATCGCGATTCTGCATGGCACGTGTCTTGTTTTTCCCCTTTTTTTTCTGTCCTTTGTTTTATAATCGGAGATAGAGAATTCTTGACGGGAGGTCCAACGGTCCCACGTCATATTCGCCGGCTTCTCGGAAGGAGTCTGTATTCCTCCTCCTTCCTTTTTTGTCTGTTTATTGATTACGGCGTGATAAAAGTGGCGCAAAATATTTGTTCTGCCTGCTGCATCGCATTCAAAGAAAATTCTGTTCTTGAAGGGATCGATAACCCTTATATAAAACCCCAATAAAGAAGTCTGCCAATGGCACCTGTTAGTTGTGTAATTGCGAGTCTTTATGTGACTTGCTTTGTCCTAGCATTTCTTTGTTCAGTTCTAATTAAATTGTACGTGGTGCTGGGTAGCATTTATGGAAATATTATGTGAACGATTGGATATTGTACTTTTAGAGTACTTTTATTGTAATGTATAGTTTTAATAAATAAGATGTTTCCATTGTAATGATCTGAAGCCTAAAGTGTATTATTTTAATTTTATATACATTGAAATATGTATTTAACATATATTTCTGGACAAAAGAGACTAATGAAAAAGTGAAGGTTAGAAGGAGAATATTAAATTGAAAAAGGAAGAATATTTATAATCAAGCAATTTAAAAATTTGAAAGTTTGGTGCGTATTAGACACTAATGAATTTGTATTATACTTTTTAATCATCGTTTTAAGTACATTGTAAAATGAATATGTACGTAATAAAATTTTCCAATGATAATATTTCTTAACAATAAATGCAAATTGAGAATATAATAAAAAAAATTGTAAAAAAAGTAATAATTTATGCAATGAAACTAAACAAATATAATTCAAAATGAAGTTCATACGTCTTCAGACTTTTCTAAATAAAATACTACTTTTAACTACAATGTTCACTCTTTATGTTCTGAATATTCTTTATATCATTTTCAGTAATATGTTGCCACAAACTGCATATGGTTGGATACTTATTTTTAATTTAATCTAATCTAAAGTCCGACTACATGTATTTATCCTCTAATGACTGCAAAATATATTTATTGCCTAGTGTGTATTATATAAGGAATTCTAAAGTCAATTAACGTAAGTTATATTTTCTATTCGCCAAATTTAAAAGAGTTTTTAACGTTGAATCTTTGAGTTGATAAAGCAATCGGGACGCTATCGTAGAATTAAGTGTTCAGTACAAAGGCAGTACCGCGATCGTATTATCAACCGAAGGCTCTAATAACGGAAACACTGCATGTGTTTCACAATCTCGAAACCTGTCGAACAGAAATCTAGGATACCAGACATCTTGGACAAGAAGCGAGAAAACGTTTTGTAGCAACGAAGATACCTCATTCCCAAAGTGACACGCACGATTCCAAATAAAACTGGCCATTCATTAAACACCAACCGTCCCAAAGAACATTTTCCCCGAGACTGCACCATCGCGTGCAATTATTCCGGCGAGTGTTTCTTCCTGGTAGTACGAGGAAAAAGAAGAAACAACAATAAAACCATTCTATCCTGTCAGTTCCGTACGACTGCCAAAAAAAGACGAAGAGAAAAGGAAAAAGAAACGAATGGCGACAGGAGGTGACAATTATTCGAATAAGGGGGTAACACGGCTGTCTCGTTCCTCCTTCGGCATAACACACACCGTCCTTCGTGTTCCGTCGGTCTCTGTCAGGTACAGCTGAGTGGCCGAGCGAGTCGCTGTTGCCTCCTCTCGTTCTAATTAACGAGCGACCTGTGTGCGTCCGACGGACGAAGCGAGAGACGACCAGGGGGAGTTCCGCGAGCTGAACGAAGAGGGTCGGAAGAGCAGTGACGGGGAATCACGAGGGAAAGAGACACGCTGCGAGCCGGCCAACCACGTGACCACCGGGCGGGGGTGGCAGGCGACATTTCGCATGCTCAGAACTCCACAGGCTGCTGTAGCGTATCGCACACCGAGCCGATACCCTTCGCAGGGAAACAATAGTGCTGCTGCTGCTGCTGCTGCTGGCTGCGTCCGTGAGAGAGAGAATCCGTCAGAAAGCCCTGAACGAACGCGAACCGCGCACCGAACTGAACGGATCGACCGAAAAGCTGTTTCTCGGTTCCCGAGACGGGTACATACGCGTTGTTCCTTAACCGGCTCCCACGGTTTCACCCTTTACGCGTCCCTCTACGGGCCAACACGCGCACCGAGGAAAATAGAGAAAATAAGGGACACGTTTTCCCGGAATTTTCGCCCATTCATCCATCCGCTTCCGTCGTCCCGCGGCCTTTCGCCTAGGCCTGACAAGTAGTTCCTCGGGCTTTCGTTGATCGATTTTCGTCCCCATTCATTTGTCTTCTCGTTCGTCGGGTGTCGTTAGGGGCCAGGCTAGGTGACGGAGCGGTTAGTGTGTCCGTCGGTGGTCACGATGTTCTCGTGGTCGTGGAAAGTGCGAGAAAAGTGAGAGGCAGTGTGCTTTTAAACAGTTGACGTCAAGTGCCTACCGTGCACGCAGTCAATCACGGCCGAACGACGCGAGGAGGGATGACGATGGTACTATCAGGAGGGAACCAGCTGCAGCTTCCTTGATCCACGAATATTGTCATCGAAACATCCTCGTTTGGCCTAACACCGGATATCAGGTTCGAAGCGACATTTCTGTTTAACGTCGAGCCCGCTCGCGAACGAATCGGACGTGTTCTCGATGATCGGAAACTGTCTTGTACCTTTGCACTGATGTGTTACGTTCTGTACTAGCTTGTTTTTCCTTTGAAAGCATGTGAAAAATGAAAGTGCGATCGTTTTTAAATACATTTACCGTTTTAATAGATTTGTTTATTTATTTATCATTTTATGCGATTTTTATGGGGTACGTTATACCGTTATTGAAAATCAGATTTATTTAACCATTTATGCATGTGTATCTCTGAGTTGAAACATGCAATACGGGTCAAATTGGAGAAGGGTCAATAGTAACTCTCGCAACGTGGTCCTTTAACGAATTGTATTTCCCTTTGAAACGATCACTTGATTGTATTAAATGTTTGTTCTTGTATAATAAACTTGGGAATAACTGTAATAATAAAGAGTTCGGTATTATATTCTTTTTAATTCGAATTTGGATCTGTTGTTTGCTGTGTTTACTCGTTTTAGTAGTGCAATGCACAATTTTTTCATCTCCTGTGTAATTTCAACGTTTTCAATATAAATGGGAAATTGTTATTTATTATTTAGTTATTTAGCTATCAAAAGTGAAGAACTAAATAAACGAAGTCCACTAATCATTGGTTTTTCACTGATTTAAAGAATTTATCATCTTATAAATTTAAACTTCGTAATTTCTTTGTCTAGAACACAGAAGAAAACAACGCTATTTACAATCATATAAAAGTGCGCAAAACAATTCCTTGATCACTGAAGAATTAATTTATTCTCACAATGTTCTTCGACATTAATTATATTAACACTGAACCGCCTAAAACAAATAATAATCTGTTGCAACCGTTCGGTTAACTCTAGGTTTACGGGCATTTATTGTATAGTTTATTCTATTGTTCCTAGAAAAATCTATATTCGCTTATTTAGGTCTTGGAAATTAGATGTTTGATTGCATCAATCAAAGTTGATGTAAATATTTACCAAAATATGTTTATAAAATCCAATGTGCGTCAAATCGACGCGTTCTGCAAACCTAGTAGCAATAAAGAGAATCTTCCACCTCGAAGTGTCATATTTTCTTAAAAATATTAAAACATTAAGAAATAGTCAAAGTACCGGTAGGCAGCAGAAAAATAAAATTCAGATCGCGGAAACAAATGTTCGTCACTCGAAAAATTCGAAAACCGTTGTTGCCGAATAGCCACGGCATGGATAGAACGTGTAAACAAACCGTTTCGCGAGCAAACTGTTGCAGACATTTCCGCAGTTATTTTTATTCGTAATAAAAATAACCTGCCGGCAACAACACAATAAACAATTCGTATGTTGTCGTATGACAACCCCGTGAACTTGTGTGTTAAATTCGCGGTGTTCGTAAAACCGTCGGGGATGCGCGAAAAGAAACGGTCCCTGACAATTAAATCAAATTTGTCGACAGCCACCACGTGGGAAGCGTGATGTATCCTATGGTTTCGTTCGTGTGTCTGCGTGTTCCTTAAATTATTAGATAGTGCAGGAGTCACGCATACTATGAGGATGCTGTTCGGCGCGCGCACACACGTGTAAAAGTCATTATCACTTGAGCATGCGTAACTTATGCATCTCATTCGGCTCGTTGCCAGTAATGTATTTTAATTGGTCAACCGCTGTACAGCGCTAAGTAACATGTATATATGCTCCCGGTACGAACAAGTGACCGCGACGTAATAAGTAGACTGCGGATCTTCGCGCATTTATAGCGCTCTCAAGACCTTCGAAAAAGAATAAAATGGAAATTCGAATAGAATTAAACTTAGGCGGTTAACCGTAGGAAAACCAATGAGGAATTCCTCACCAGTTGTGGGTCTGATTTTGAAATAATCATGGTTGGAAATTAGTAGATTGATGAGTTTTACTAACTGAAAAGCTTGCATTGCAAAGTTTACGCTTATTTTCCATAACTTTCCCATCATCTTCTAGGTTTATTGTTATCCATCAATTATCCATTTCGGATTTCTTGAAGCATGTAGGATCGTGTCTATGCTTTCCTCCGTAACTGCACTTGTTAGGACTAATTTATGATTCATAATAGTTTATTAGAAAAAGAAAGGAATTTTATTTTCATCCTGTGCTACTTATACTTTAATACTACAGGGACCGAGTGTTTAACACGATTAATATGTAATCCTTATAAAAAGTGTTACAATGGATTTTTTTCGGTTTCTTCGTATATTTATTATAGTATTGAAGTGATACTATTTATATATCAGTAATTCCGAAATAAGAGGATTGACACCCGTCATTTTGACGGATGCGATAGATAAGTGTTAAAAAAGAAAATGCTTGTTATTCGATTGGATAAAATTCAGTTTGGCCACAAAAATCGCATCAAAGTTTCTTACAAACATTTCTGTAAATGGAAATAAATAACTATTCTTTTACTATTCTTTTTTAGGCTCTAAATTAATTACCGTGGTAGTTACCGTAATTCTAGATGCCTATCTGTATCCTATCTTGAAGAATATATTTTCTCTCCATTCAGAGAGAAATCACGAATCCGGATCGTCAAGTTCTTCTTGATCGTCATGGGAAAGGACTGTTTCTTTTTCTATAAATAGTTTTGGCAAAGAATATTTTTTTATTATTCAAATACGAGTCTGCTGATAATCGTTTGATCTATTAGTAGGACCGAAGTCATTTTGTAGAGGTAAAAATATAAGTAACTTGTGAGAAATAAAAAATGAATTTGTCGATATCCTTGTCAATATTTTCAACCTCAGAGACAGTCACTGAAAAAAACATCAGCTAATTTTCACAATAATAAACTTGTTAATTCTGCCCCTTATTTGAATTGCTAACAATAAATTGCTGCACATAAAAATAGACCAGGATACATATTCAAGGCGAAACTTAGAAAAACGAACATGACATTACAAGTAGCGTTAGTAAAAGTAATTATATGTTATTATTTTACAAATTTATGAAGCTGGCGTATTGAATAAGAGTGAATAAGACTTTCATCGTCACACCCCTAGCCTTTCGAATTCTATTTCACTTTTCGTAACCATTGACACTAAATATAATTTATTATACTAACATTCGTTTCAGGCTGTTGTTGTTATTCCGACTAGATCCGTTTATCGTCATAGTGAACGGCACAAAGTCATTAACAAAAGAAATAAAGTACTGTAAAAATCCAGTCCTTGTAAATTACACGTAAAGAATTTTGTATTTTAAAAAGATCCCCAGTATAAAAATGCTAATATAAACATTTGTCTAAAAATGAATAGTCTAATGGTGAGAAGACTCTGCCACGGGAGCAGCAGAGGAATAAGACAAGGGACGATCGGTTGGGACAAAAATGATTGGGAAAGTCCCCGGGATGTGGCAAACAAAACGTTTTAAGGATAGAGCTCGCGATTTCCATGGCCGCGACGGATGGGAACGGTTAGGAAAGCCGGCAGAGCGTTCCGGGCGAGAACCTTTTGTCTTGACCCGCAGTGTAACCATCCCTCTTCTTATTTTTCTTTTTCCTCCTTTCAAATGTAAGCTGACCGACCGTGCTCCGTGAGACACGGAGTGTCGTGCCATGGGGACCACGTTATATACTAGCAACGCATTCCTCTCGTTTCGTTGCATTTCTTTGACGGCTGATGGATGGCCGGATAGCAGCAACCTAAGCAACTTGCCTGCGATAAACACTTCGCTGCACGTTTTGTTTAGATAAGCTGAGTGCCTTTCGTCTTCCTTCTTTACCGAGACCTCTATATTCTTTCGAGGAAAATAAATAATAACGTGCCCAGTATAATCACGGAATCGAGTTTAATGTGTACTCATTAACACTTTGAATGTCCCTCGAATTTTGGCGACCCAATTTATTCTAGGTGTAGATTTCAAAATTCATTTCCTGGGGTGACACATCGAACGAATTAAATTTTATTAGATGCACTTAGTGTAAGAGGATTAAAGAAATTTTGAATTTTCAGTTTTTATTTTATTGAAGTAATTTTTTCGACCGTATGGGAATTTGATGACTGCAGATTCGGCAATCGACGTGTTGATGTAAATTAATTGAAAAAGCCAACTTTCAATCTCGAAGATTTGGAACTTGCTTAGGCAAATTCTTGCTAACCTTACGACGTCTTTGCAATATACTAAATGCAAATGAGATTGTTTTAAAATTTAACCCCTTGTCCTATGATTTTTTTCACGATTGTGCTTGATAAAACTACGTTATGGTTTACTCTAAAGGTTAAAAATTGATAATAGACCAATAATATTTCATTTATATTAATCCTTTGCACCCGAGAGGTAACTCAGTCTCCATTTAATTTGATATACCAAAATTATAAAGTCTTACACACAATATTAAGCTTCGTGTAACCCATAAATATGTGAAATATTAAAATAATAACAGTTTCTTAATTTACGTAAGGTTCTCTCATTAAGTACGTATCGAAGAACGTCGTCTATAATTCAATGAAAAATGTTGAATATTTCTAATGAATGATTTTCGAGTGCAAAGGTTAAAAATAAAGGGGTTAAAATGAATAATTGCAAAATTCAAAAATGTACTTGTAAGTAATCTGATGACTGCTCCAGCTCTGAGAGCTATTTTGTTGGAATCGAATGATATTAAACAGCGAATTCTTTTGGTCGAATTATCAAAAGTTTGGTGCGATTAAATTAAATATATTGGATCTACAAATACATAGAAATTTAGAATGATTAGGTTTGTATTACGTATGTGCTCTAATGTGTTTGTTTTTCAAAAATAATCGAAGTGTAAATATTTCTTTAGCAACGTAGTGATTACTTTCACATAATGTAGGAACAATGTCAGGTTGGAATTTTCAACTTCCTCAGTTCATGCTTATAATTACAATTATTTAGAGTATTAATGAGCTGTCATAGAACTTGTACAGTGTACTTACTCAGAGCTTTTCATGTTACGGATCACGCGTCTATGAAGAAATCAAAATATAGGAAGTGTGGAACAAATTTA